ACATCGCAAATGGGAGGAGAAGCTCGGCCAAACGCTAACGTGTAAGCGCCAATCTGTTATTATTATTATTAAAAATAGACGATAATTTCAACATCTTTAAAAAGGATTTTTAGAATTATTACAATTCATATTTTGTGCCGCCATTGCAAGCGAATACCATCACTTGATAAGACCCAGATTCGAGCCACATCCGACGAAAAACGATAATTATTTTTATAGAAAGCAATATTAAATATTTTAAAACCATTTTCCATATTTTCAATAACTAAAAGAAATTTGCTAAAAAAGAGTGTAGTGAAACTAAATAAAAAAGAACTATAAAAAACATCCAACAGCCTAGCCAAATAAAATTCACGCTGTGGAAATTGTAAAAAATACATAAATTTATATAAATAAATATGTACCTATATGTATTTATATATCTGTGTTCGTATGGAAAAGTAGCTTATGTCGAAAGGCCGGCTTTAGTATAATGCGGCATTCCCTTTATTTTTTAAACGACAAGGAATTTTTTGATGAGACTTAAAAAGAATATTGACTTGCTAGTATCGGAACTATTTCTTGCACGTTTATTTGCTAAAAGTTGTTTAAACGGCTTAGCGCCCGTAAGTCATTCGCAATCGTATGCTGCGAATGCCGATTTATACTAAAGCCAGCCTTTCGACATAAGCTACTTTTCCATACGAACACAGATATGTACGTATGTTTTTAAACAGAACATGATGTCATACTAGTACATCATGCTATACACATCGGCGTAGCCAGAATGAAATATAGGGGGAGTACTATTTTTTATATATAGGCAAATTTTAACGTTGCGGACGTTACGTTTTAACTTGTTTGCCGACAAAAATATTATAGGTTAACATTTTTTTGTGGTATAAGGGAAGGTTTATACCAGTACTTATGAGAGAACAAAATAATGGAAATTTGAATTTGAGTTAATGTCGGTATATTTACCTTCGCAATTGTACGTTACGGACGTTACTCTTTTTTCCGTTGAAAAAAAAAAATGTTTTTTTTTTAAGCGATATTGTTGGATTTTGTTAAAAGACAGGAAATAAGAGGGGCAAATCAGATTTCTCAAATAAATGTGAAAAGAAATATGAAATAAGAATATGTTGTACTATGCCTTTTTTGACACAAAAATTAGAGAATTCAAATTGCATGCTTTTTTGGCGATTTTGGTAGACTATTTCTCGGATTCGCCCATATACAGGGAAAAATTGAAAGTTAGGGGGGTTCGAGCCCCCTTCCTGCCTCTACCTGGCTACACCCATCGATATACATGTAGTATATATATCTAATAAATCCATATGTACATATGTACATACATACAAACATGTTTCGCACAAGTTATTCAAAAGTGTATTATTTCAAAATTTGTCATTTTTGGTATTTAATAAACACGAGGTCGGAAATGGTTTTTTACGTTTTCTGCACCTACATATGTACATATGTATGTACTTGAAGAACGTCCATTTGTAATTCGTGTGCACATGTGCATAAATAAAGGTTTGTAAATGCTTAAGCAAATATGTAATTCGTCCAGTAGAAATTTTACACATAGTTAAAGTGTTTTTGCCAATATGTATTGGCAGACAACACTGAATTATAATTGTAGTAAATACTTATTATTAAATATCTATTTCATAAACTCATTTTTTTTGCTCCACCCTATCATATTTAGAGGCCAAGAATCGTCTTTGCATTGCCTTGTCACAAATTCGCCTTTCTACCCCGCATACAAGTAACCGTTTTTAGCGAAAAGAGCCAAACAAGCAAGTAGGTAAATTAATTAGTTTGGTCACGTATACGCCCAGCACACCCATAATTCCTGAGTTCGTCAGCTCCTTCCGCCATTTGGTAGCCGGCAACAGCAATGATGAATATTTTTGTATGTATCTAATATGTGTTAATTAATTTTACGAAAATCCTCGTCAGTCATCGTTTTTTTTTTCATTACAACAGCAAAGTTGAAGAGACCAGCAAAATCGGTCGGCATTTTCATTTCCTGTACGAAAGCGGGTACATACGAGTACATATGTATGTAATTCAAACAAAATCGCTCATAAAATGTAAGAATTTAATTAATGTTATATACATAGAATTTTTAACCGACTCCAAAAAAAAGGAGGAGGTTATCAATTCTTTGGAATATTTTTTTTTTTTTGTTGGTGAGGTGCTGTCTCTCAATTATTGATAGCTGGTTCTCATTAACGGGTTAGCTCAAAATGGACATCGATCGATTTTTACTTTCTTTTTTTTAAATTAGTGATGTGCGTCCATTAAACAGGTTTCATTCAGAATTCGTACAAATTTCGAAAGGTGCACTCATTTCAATGCGCAGGGTTTTCGCATTTGGTTTCTACATAAGTACTTAGTATTGACGAATACTTGGGTCAAGTCAAGATCAAACAGCTGCGAAGATATTTAACGAAATTCAAGTCTTAATTGTTTTGTACGTCAGTACAAATTTGCAGTTGCTAGTGTTTTGTTGATGTTTGAACATGAGGTCAAAGCATTGCTATATTTACATATGAATCAGCATATATGTACATATGTACAAATGTACATATATTTACATACGTGAATACTAAGGCAGAAAATACGAATGCATAAATGCAAACAACAACGAAAATACAAGTAATTTTTAAGCGCGAAACAAAACCTACTTCGATGCTTATATACAAATTTAGGAATTCCATTAATTTTGCCATGATCCAATGATTGGAACTAAATTAAATTAGTATGGGATCACGCGATGAATTATCGCATTTCCCATGAAAAAATATTATCGAAAACGGTTCCCGCCTATTCTAAATTATCCAGTGACATACATAAAAAAATATGCCGACCTCCTTTTTTTTGAGGTCGGTTAAAAATCTTTAAATGCTACTTATATCTTATTTAAATGTTCTTAAAAAATTGTTTGTGCTTGTATATCATCTCCCACTGCAATGATTCCCTCATTTCGCATAAATAAAGAAGCACAACGGTAACAATACGCATACATACATACATATATATAAAAGATTTTGCGCTTAAGTTATCATATTTAAGTAGCAAAAGATTAGTAGCAATAAAATATTATGAACATTGCTGCACACGAGAGAAGAATTTAGTAAAATTTATAGGCAAAAATTAAACTGAATAATCAAACGCATGCCAACTTGCATACCTAGATATATTAGGGATATTCACGATCCGGTGTATACTGTCCAGCATGGTGCATAGATAGCACGACTGGTTAATTTTGTTGTTGTTTGAACACATGAAACCACAACAATTATGCTATTTATGCTATCTATGCACCATGCTAGACAGTGTGCACCGGATCGTGAATACCCCTATTGTATTTATGTACATATGTACCAAAATGTGTGCATGTTCATTTACATATATCATTCACATACAGCACTTTATCACTCAATTTATAACCACCCAACTACATTCGATCGAACCGCTTTAGAATGATCCCAACAAATTAATTATAATTATTTCGCGTTCTGTCGAGATTTGAAATGGTACACAGATGACAACATACACGCAGGCACATACTAATATTTACATACATATACATAGGAAATAGGTATCCGTTGAAAGCTACAAATTTACAAATGTTTTGCATGAAAACGTATTAAAACATTTTCGCTTAAATGAAAAAAGTGTTAATTTATTTATTTATTTGGCGGTCGCCGTGGTCGAGTGGTTAGAGGTAGAGTGGTACCCCTGGTCCGCGCCACATAAAAAAAACTTTTTTTCTAATAACGGTCGCCCCTCGGCAGGCAATGGCGAATCTCCGAGTGTATTCTGCCATTAAATACGGCAATAAATAGCTGAATGTGCAGAGGATGGTTTGACTGCCGTCAGACGCAACACATTAAAATTATATAAAAAGTATTTATTAAAATTAAAAAAATTGCTGAATTTAAAATTTGTTTTTTTTTTTTTGCTTTGTTTTCCGTAACTATGAAAAAGCTGCAGTGAAGTGCAGAATGAAATCGTTTTGAACGAAAAGTTGAATCTGTATCCGTTTCACAACAATTTTAGGTACTTTTCTGTACATACATACGTTTCAGGGGCGCACTTTAGTAAGAGAATGTATACGAAAAACGACCGAAATGGAATCGAAAAACCGATGAATTGGCTAGCTGGGGTTCTGGTTTAATTTGATAATACTAGTTCTAATAATATGTATGTATATGTGACCTGGTCTACGGAAAGGGGGCTTAGGTGTCAAAAAATCAATTTTCACTTTTTGGTTGATTCGGATGGAAGATGAGATGCTTTTTCACGTGGTGAAAAGCAGAAAATCCTAACTTGCTTAGAAGTGTACTAAAAATGTAGAGAACAGAAACAGTAAACGTCACTTCTTCAGTGTTACTTTTTTAAATGTTCCACACTAGCAACTTACACGATGAACTATAATAATATTCCGACCAACAACAACAATTACTGGACCAACAACAACACTTACTGGACGTCCGGCGCGGAGAACAATTAACGAGATAATGAGAAACTGACGAAACGAGTTGCTTACTTTTAACAGCTTTTTCACAGAAAACTAGTTTTCGCACGTAAGCTCCCTTTTCGTAGACCAGGTCACATATATATTTAGGAATTTATGTTATTTATGTTTCTCATATTGTGGGTGCTTACATTTGCCTGGTTATCAGGTTATCTGGTTGAAAATTATTATTCTATAAGGACAATTTATCTAAGCGCGTAAATGCGTCGTAACCACGTAAGCCTCGTAAACTTACTTAATTTTGTATAAAAAAAACCGGCTTATTTACCAGTTACGAGGCGTTTACTATTTCTACTAAATACCATTAAATCAAAAAAATATTAGTTTTCGTCAATAATATCGAAACTAATAGGTTTAATCGATAAAAAATTGTCCAATGTAAACTAACATAGTACATACAGAAATTATTTATTAGACTGCATATTTATGTATTCTTGTTTTTTTAAAATACACTCTCTTGCATTTTCAGATTAAATATTGTTGACGTTTGAAACTACTTTCAAAATACTGTTCTGCTAATGGCTTCCCATAGATGCAAAAATGGTTCAATTTAACACAGAAAATGTTAAAGCGGAAAATGGCATCAGTGCTGGTATGATTGGAGACGGTTGTAAAATGACCAATGCCTCCAATACGCCTACTCCATCGCCTTCGCGAACACCAAACAAGGCCCGACAGTTGTCAGTGATGGACGAAGAAGAAGGCGCTACTGGTAAGTGAAAATAGACGATTGACCGCCAAATAAGAACGGAGCATAAAAATGCTAAATTTCATCGTGGTGATGCGGTTGAGTTTCCGTTCGAAACGTCATTTGAGCCCCAAGCACGAGTGCTAATACTCAGCGACAAGGCGAATTTATACAAGGTGGTGCTACTGGCGAATTTAGATTTTCGCCGCGGTACTTCCTAATGTCAAAATGTTGTGTTTGTTGTAAACAAAGCGAATTCATATTACAACAAACACACCACCTTGTATAAATTCGCCTTGCTCATCTCGACATCTCGTGCGTTTATTGAATTTTTACAGCTCACTCAGTCAAGTAAAATGGGCATACGTTTTTTTTTTAAATATTTTTTTTTGCTATTTTCGCCTTAGTGTGTGTTCACATCCGATGTTTACTCCCCAACTTACAAACGCAAAATGATTCGTGTCAAGTGTGACGATAGACAGACGACATTGTTAACTCATTAAACACGAAAGCCAAAGAGGAGGGTACAAGTTTGATCAGATCAACTGCTTCATTAATCCGGATTAACGTTGCCGTCTGTCTATGCTATAAAACATTCTCTGCGTAAAATCAAATTTTTCATCCAGAATGCTAAAAGTAGCGCAATTTCTCACGAAAATATTCAAACTTATGGCTATTGTGATTGGGACTACATTCTGAGCAATTTTGCAAAATATAGAATATCCTAAGCAGTACCCTGCAAGTGACAATTGGTACACTCTTAAGTCATTGCTTTGTTAAATTCTATATTTACTTACTTATGTTGTACAAAGTATGAATTCGAATAAAATTCATCCAATTCACGACTTGAACTTACTGGTACGTATATACAAATATGTAGAGTCCAACCGATTAATCGACGTCGGCATCGGTATCGGCCGTTTGCAGTAACTAGGTAAGTGTTGATTTTTGACAATTTTTGGTTCACGCATTTTCTTCCAAACAAAATATGTTCGAAAATTTTTTCGTATGGAGAAAATCCGCAACACCTTCCACAAAAAAAAATCCAAAAATGAATAGTAAGTCCTAGGTACTTAAAATTTGCACTTCATTCAAATAAAATTGAATGGGCTACAAAACTGCATACTCAGAATATTTAAAGAAAAAGTTTGAAATTTTTACTAACATGGTTTTTGTTAGATAACGAGCTACACTTTCATAAACAAATAAGCAAGATTAAATAAACGAAAGGGAAATAGCCAAAGAATGCTAAAATGTCGTTACTGTAAGTTTTGTTACGATTATCCTTGAATTATTATTTTCACTAGGTTGTTAAATTGTTTACGTTACAAAAATACTTTTTACTTTAAATATCTACGGTTACTGTTTATTAACAAATTGTATTCAATACATCACCTTTATAGTCAGCAGAATCTGCATATTTCTACTACTATGAGTAAAACTAAGAAATGTGATTTCGAATGAACTATTTTTTTTTTTTTAACATTAAATAAGTAAAAGCCCACGGAACAAAGTATTACAATGATATGTATGCATAGGCGTACTGTTAATACATATTTATGTATATACATACACACACTTTATCAAAAACATTTGTACTTGAATGAATTTATATTCAGGTATTTTTTTTTTTTAAGGAATCGCCATCGGCATCGGCCGATTCTTTGCCCTAAGGCCGATTAACCGGCATCGGCATCGACATCGGCCAAAATCGGGGCGAATCGGTCGGACTCTACATACAAATATGTACTGTGGTGCAAGCACATATTTATGTACACGGGAATATCGCAGGAAAATTGTTTGCGCATGTTGTGTCGCTAAATCCAATCAACAGGTTGATGCTGGAGGCGTCGCTTAATATTCAACGATGAACACATCAACACAATTACTTAATCAAAAAAAGGAAACAATAATAGCATGTGAGAATTGTGCGCAGAGCAGTGTGAATATAAGCTCATATCGCTCATTTACTTCAATAGTGTCATAACTCAACATAACAGCAAAACTCGCGACGAACGGCTTTAAAGTTTTGCATTCACATACATACATATGTATATTCCCATAGTAAAAATTAAACATATTTTGTTCTGGAGAGATATTGGTGTTCGACAAAATAGAATAAGAGGTACCGGCAATTCCTGGGTACTCAACTCAAAATTTATATTTATTGGATTATAACCAGGGTTAGGATTTTAAGGCATTTGTCTATTTTGTCTGCTTGGTCATTTCATATCTTCCTTGATTAAAGGTATCAATTTTAAGTTTACCTTTTTTCTTTTATAAGCTAAAATTAGTCGAGAACGCAGAACGTATACTTAAACGCAGTCTGTATACGCAGAATTTTGTCGATTACTGGAGCCCTCAGTGTTGCTTACTACAGTGTTGCCACTCTTCAATGCCTTTTCATAAACTTACCCTTTCAACCACAATTTTTCGTGCTAAAATAGATTGTAACTAAATATAAACTACTTAGTTTTCAACAAAAACCTTATTTAATAGTAAATTTCAAATATTTTAAACATATTTCGAATAGGAACTTATAACTTTTTTACCATCTGCAAAACTGACGAAGTGGCAACCATCTAAAGAAGGAGAAATCAGCTGACACGGAAAAATCTAAATTCCGCAGATTTCTGCGCTACGGGCTACAACTACAGAAAAATTCTGCGGTGTTCAGTTTTCATTTACATGGCGCTTTGGTAAGACAGATCGTGTCAGCTGACTCGGGTTTACGTACCGGTAGGTTTACGTTCTTGACTAATTTCAGCTATAGTCTTTTTTTACTTTATAGTCAAATATTTGCTTAAAATGCCTAAGGCCGCTTGTTACAATTCCTAGAAAATCCACGGCTATATAGAAGAATTGGGGGAAAACATATTTTTGACTGATGTGGAATAAATGTAAAACACGACCAAAAATACCACAACCTATTACTTAATTGTTAAATAACGACGAATCGAACGAGCTTTTAAGTAGAGTTTAGTGTCGGTAGATGTTGAGATGAGCCTTAGTTCCTTCAAATCAATGCTTCGCGATAATCTCATGAGGCTGTGGCGTAAAAATTTTAAAATGGTAGCACAGCCGAGTAATCATAGTCAACTTATGTATTTTGACAAGTTTTAAAATATTATTTTTGTTGTTATTTAATTTTGGTTAGTATTTTATAAAAATATGGTTAATTCTTTAACAGTATCCGTGTGAATACAAGTTTAAAGGTACATAGTGCCACATGATTGGGCATTTGCCAAAAATTTGGTGCAAATCATATCCCAATTGTGGGAATATCCCAATATTTTTCTTTATCCCAATCACGAAAAATAATTTGTTCATATTTTTCAATAGAAGATCGCTGTATTGTACCAATCTTGTGACTACAAAATAAAATTGTCCTCCCAATTTTTATATATGTATATTGTACTAATATTCCAATATAAAAATGTACAAATGTACCAATCCAGTGAGACTGCCTTAAAACTTTGTGCAATATTAAAAAAAAAAAACAAATTTTTGTAAAACTTTCGACTTTAGAATTCCTTGAAAGATTCTAAGTATGCAGTGGTGTAGCCCATTCAATTCTAATAGAATAAAGTACAAGTTTCAAATGGCTACCGGGTTGACTTTTTAGAATTAAAAAAAAAAAACAAATTTTTGTAAAACTTTCGACTTTAGAATTCCTTGAAAGATTCTAAGTATGCAGTGGTGTAGCCCATTCAATTCTAATAGAATAAAGTACAAGTTTCAAATGGCTACCGGGTTGACTTTTTAGAATTAAAAAAAAAAAACAAAAATTAAATAACAACCAAAATTTGTTTTTGTTTTGTGGCCTTATAACAATTATATTCAACAATTTTTTTTGAGCTTGAGGCCATTGCTTTTCCATAATAAGTTTTTCATTAAAAACGGCCTCAAGCTCAACAAAAATTGTTGAATATAACAACCAAAATAATATGTCAGAACATTGGCAAAAAGTGGTGCGGCTATAATTTTTTGACCACTGTATGTATTTTTTTTAAAGATTCAATTGGACATGCCAATTGAACATAAAAGCTATGTATAACAAAATTAAAAATAAATCCTTTTTTTTTGCCTTTTCTCTAGTTTTTAGGGCCTGACCCTTATTATGACACTATTGAAGCGATAATGCACATATGTAGATGTGCATATCTGTGTTTAATTATGTTTTTGTTTAACAGGGTATGTGTTTATTGAAATGTGCTAATACACACACATATTTTGATACGTTAATGTAAACATGAATTCCTTAAAATTACAATTTCGCCAAAAAGCCTCCGCTATTTACACAAGTACGCCTATACACAGTGGAAGTGGCTTTTGTCGTTATTTTGCCTGCAGGCTCAAGCTTTATTCCACTAACGATTGTTAAACACTGTTCTCGTACTATACACTTTCATATGGACGCAATCGCACATAATGTCCTTGATTTGACCACTCTAATATTGTTTTGCTTGCATTTGGTTGGGTCAACTTTAGAGGACCAATGTCGCTATATTCGAATTACTTTCACCACACCAAATACATACATACATACATACATACATATGTCTATTGTAAAATTTTATAATGAAAGCTATTAAATTTACATCAATATTCTATCCACGCAATCGGGAACAGACCAGACCCATCAAGTTTCCCATTTAAGCGCTTTTTAATCGATTTCAATTGTGTTAACCTTTTTGCAATCGTTCCACACCCACTCAATGAAGCAACCACCCACCCTGCAGGGAAACCGCGAACTAGTGATTCACATTTCTAGTTCCGTACTAGATCCAAAAACGAACCAGTCCGATAGTAACTATGTAGATCCCCACCAAGCCAAAATCAGCGAAATTTTAAAACTTTTAAAAAACTATTGTATTTCACTTTTTTCATTAGAAATCTATATCTAAGGTGACGAATTTAGAACTGGTTCGGAACTATAGAAAAACGAAAGCAGAACGAACTAGATATTTTCTTTCGAATTTAGAACTAGTTCGGAAATATCGAAAAAGGGATGCAGAGTGGAG